GAGGAACCCGCCACGTCGTCAACAGTCGGTCGATACGAGAAAGGGTGTGACAGGTCCTCTGCCTATATATACTAACCCCACCTGTATTTCTTTCCGAAGCTCTGGCCATTTTCTGGCTTTTTCTTAACGTCGGGCATTGATGATTCCTGTAAGGCAGTCGGCCGCATGGATGAAGATACCGTTAGAATTGGCCCGGCCGCTGCAGCATTTGTTGGACTGTCCATCGGTCCGACAAGTAGCACGATCAAGAACGCTAGCGCCAGGGCAGATAGGGTATACCTCAAGGAGTACATTTGCCGATGAGTTGATGTTTACTCCAGCAATCGTTGACTATTTATAGGCATTGGCATTAGGGCTTAGACGTGCGGGCTTTTGTTGAGGCAAAAACAAACAAAGCAGCGTCATGGTAACCCATTGACCTGACGCCTGCTTGCTGTCGCCGCGGTAAGGACGGCCTCGCAAACTTCTATGATTCAAGTGTGTACTTCAATGCCTAATGTAGGGATATTGAGTACAACCAGTTGTTAAAACAAAAGCATTGAGCGATTGGGCGCCCGCATGATCCGAACTCAAGTACGCTGGAGCGCATTTAAACCACCACAGCACCATTCAACCACACCCACCCCCTCCCCTAGCCATTTTGCTGTTGGTTGTTTTATTTTATAGGGGTGCATCGAAGTTGGGTTGTGTGCGCTTACTGCTGTCGTAGGCTTTTATGCTCACTAAAGTTCGTAAAACGTATATTGAGGTAAGACTTAAAAGCAACGCTAAACCGTGATGTGGGTGTGCGTGTGTGTTTCATGCGGTTCAACTTGCTCGTCTGCCGATTATTCACGAACCATTATATAGCAGGCATGATGCATAGGCGGACGGTCATGAAATTCAAAGGATTCTTCCCAGGTACAAATTTCAAGCAGACGAAAACGGCAAAAGTTATGTGTTCAAATAAATTTCGAGAGAGCTCATCAAGTGTTTCCTCTTTCTGCATGCGTAACGAAACGGCAACTGAAGCTTTACCGCATGGTCTAACGGCTAACATAGGTCGGCGTTGGTAGGCTGCTTCCATGTAAAGCAAGGTCCGGTTTCTTGTTGCTGGAACAAGAAGTCGAAACGATGTGTTGATGTTAAAGGAGTGACCACTGTCTAGCGAGTGTTTTGTAATGGATGACCGTGGGATATTGTTTCTTTTTTCTTAAGCCAAGCAGGCAACTGTTCAGCAGCCCCGTTCGCCATTTGCCTTTGCTTACGGTCAATGTCCTTTCATAAGCAAGTGCACGTAAATTCTTAGATGTAGCGAGTGTGGTGTGCAAAGGCAGGTCACGTCCCAAATATTTGATGCAGTAATACAAGATGCGGTCAAAAGTCATTTAATTGCATTTAACGGCAAACAACTCAACCCATTGGTAAAAATATAATTTTTACATCTGAAATTGCCCTTCGTTTCTTAAAAATAATGCAGTTCCTTGAACTTGGCTTCACCTGATTTTCATTAGTTGAAGACTAGGTTTTCCGGTACTCTCTTGCTTATATTGGGCTCTTGCCATATAGTAATGCATATATCTAACCGGTTTTGAGCTGTCATACTTAATAACATAGGGAATATTTTCGATATCAGGCCACTCCCGAGGTCGTCAACATTCTGCTTACGAGACCTCTAAACAAGCTGAACTACACAGGCAATTTTCCTCACTAAACACCTTTCTCTGGATTAAATCCACTGCCTGGATAAAAATAGTGTGGCCAGATATATGCTTCACTACCGAGTCAACTTTCGTCATGACTTTTGCAAGAATCCCCAGACATATTGTAGTCGAAATCCAACAGTCGAACCATCGTCCTTCAACTTCCATGTATCGCAGTCAATGCCTGCTGTACTTCTAGTAGCCATCTTTTGGTGGTGTACTGATAGCGCCAACGACAGACGGGCAGCTCTCCTAACCACAACACGTTTGCACTTTTTTATCCTGGATCTCTACCTCGTCGTGACAGTGGACCTCAACCGACTGTTCTTCATCTGCACGACCAACCAACTGAATACCACTCCGGATCCGCTGCGTGACCAAACGGAGATGGCTGAAGTCTCCGGGTATGTGGTCGAGGATAAGATGATCATTGCACATTAGTATCAAATGATAGCAGACGTATTTAGCGCCAACCGCACTCTTAAACTTCACCATGGAACAAGAAAACTAGTCTGAGTTTGATGTTGGCCGCTGTTCCCCAGAAACACCGCCTAACATACTCCATAGTGGCAGTTAACTTTGTGGGTTTACTACTGCAAGCTTCGCGCACCTTCACTGGGTGTCAAGACTGCTATTCCTACAACAACTTTTAACTAGCAAGGTAGCTGAATCTTAGTTGTACTTGTGCTATTTTTGAAAGTATTGTTAGTCAGAGATGACGTGGATTAAACATCATGCTCTGATTCATACCCCCTTTAAACTAAACAAGGAGTATGCATCTGGGTTTAACAATTTCCGAGTGAATGCATTTTTGAGAACCTGAACACATCGGGGCTTGCCTTTCTTTCCGCCTTCTCAACTCTATCCGTTAGGCTGCCTCATCTTATGGGTTTACGAAAAGTTCTGCCGTTTCTTTTTGTCGCATGGTGCCATTGGCCGTTTCCGGGCTAACGTTTTGCCGTATCTAACTCTACCTTGAGGTTAAGGGGATGTCTTCTGTCTGATGGAGAAAAATCTGCTAAATAGTCAACTACTATTTCGATATCCCATATTCGCGTACAAGGTGCAGACTTCCTCCTTATGTAGTTACATGGCGTTAGAGGGTAAAATATAAAAGTTCCGTCAGGACTAAATGAACAAGTATCGCTAGTATTACCACTAACACGAATACCACCAGCATTAAAGTTCATATGCCCATCTGCATTGTTTGGTGTAAAGGTTGTCAAACACACGCAAACAATCGAAACGTATATGTAATGCTCTGTGTAAGCAACCATGAAACCAATAGAAAAGCGTGGTATGTCATATCCGATTCTCAACGGTCAATCCGTTAAAACAAAAAGCAAAACGACAGGATTCATTTTAGAGGCCCTCGAAATTGACCTTCAATAGAAAAAAAAACTACTCTTAAATGTTCAGTCACGCGACTTTGCGTTTTTTTCTTTAAATTCCACCAATTGGAGGACGAATTTCCATTTTCGTTAAATTCCACCTACCTTAGGTCAAGTTTCCCTTAATTGAAAGCAGGCATAAACAGCAGGATTTATTGATATCGACAAATTTTGCGACAGCTTTTCAGCTGCTCTTTTTGCTGCATAAGGAAGATATGGAGGACACATGGAACAGTTGGGAATTTAAGAGAATTACTAGTAACAAAAAGGAACGTTTTCGGTTTAAAAAATATCGACATAACCGTACGTTAATTCAAATATGGGAAGTAGTGGGTTATGGAAGTTAACGAAAAAAAAACTTGGGAATTATATAAAAGGACCATTTACCACAACAATTGAAGGTTGACCGCTAATTGCATAGGTCAGGTTTCGCAAGCAAGAATACAGAATACTACTGTCCTCTATTGCCAATCATCTACTAGACAGTGGTCATTCCTTCGACTTCAAAACAGCGATTCGACTACTTGTTCGGGTTCGAGCAAAGCTGCTCGTGCCCTAAAAAGCCGAACCCTGCA